AATTTTCTCTTCTACTTGGGGTGTGTGCAGCAGGAGTGGAAGAAAAGGCTGGAGGCTCCTTTGAAGTGCTGGCACATGCTGCTTGTGCTTAGTTTCTTTGCTTCCGTAACATTCCCTTCTAAGTTCATTTGCAACCTCAGGCATGTTCCCAGGAGGTCGCCCCTCCCCACCCCAACCCTGTCTTTCACACCCTGCCTTCCTTGAAGCCTCTAAAGGGTCCCTACTGCTGCATTGTGCCCTACCTCATCCCTCACCAGTGCATGGTCCCTCCTCACCCTTGGCTCCCACTGATGTATAATGGAAAATGGGAAGAATTCTGTGCAACGGCCCAATGAAATTACAAACTCTGGAGTAAACATTTTTTGCAGATGAAGACCCTGGCCATGAGCTTCCCCAGAGCGAAGGTTACCAGCATGACCAGTACCAGCCTGTGCCACCCCAGGGACAGAGCTCCCAAGAGAATGTGTCCCTCTGTCCTTTGGCATCTGTTCAGGACACAGGATCACCACTGCTCAGTATTGGGCAGGAGCTGCAGCCCCCAGCACTTGGCCCAGGTACAGCTACACCTCTGGGAGGGGTTTTTGCTGAGCCCCCTCCACAGGCGCTGCCACCAGCAGGTAAGTGCTCCAGTCTTGTTTCTCTGCAAAAATGCCTGCCCTAGTTAGCAGCAGGGGCATGGGGGGGTCCCTCAGGGAAGTGTGATCCCCTATGGCATATGTGTTACTTCAGCTCCTGCTCCCTGCTAGCACAGCCTTCACCCAGCACCTCATTTCCCTCCAACTTTGTCCCAAATGGGGAGCCATGCTTGCCCCAGTGCTGCAGATGTAAACCAAGTCCAGCACTGCTGGCCACCCTGGGCAGGTGGGTCTTCATTTTTAGGACATCTTGCCCAAAGCAGCAAGGGAGGACAGCTGCGGGTTGGTGGCAGTGCTGCTGCTTCCCTGCTGAATGGAAAACCAGCTTCACATCCGGCAGCACCAGCCAGGTTTGAGATACACTGGTGTAGCCTTGTGACTTCCTCCCTGGGGCTGACAGGGACCAGAATGGCCTTTTACATCTCTTGGGTGGGGGGAGCATCTTGGCCACACAGCCTTGCTAGGGTGGGATGATAGCAGCACTGAAAATGCCTCTGATTGATAGACATGGCAGGAGCTCTCCTGGTCAAATCCTGACTGTGTCCTTCCCTCTGTTCCACAGGAGAAGCTGGGGAGTCCTGGGCCCCACTGTCCCCTGAGGGGGTGCAGCCATCCCTCCCAGCAGAGCAGGTGAGTCAGGGAGTCCATCCCACTGGGAGCCCTGGTGAGATTTGGGAGTTGCTGGCTCATCCAACTCCCACCATGGTGGGAGCTGTGTTGTCTTAGGTGACCTGATGGGTTAGGGTAGCCCCCTCTCCAGCCTCCTGCCTCTGGGTCTGCCTGATGCACCCTGCTATGGGTGCTCCTTCTCCCCACCTGCTGTGTAATGGATGCGGAGGTCGAATCTTGGCAGCACACTGATAGTGCTTTGGGGTGGCTCCTCTGGGAACACCACATGGCAGCTGCATCTCTGATGCCAGGAGGGGTTAAAGGCAAGGGCTCGGACTGTCTCGGAGAGCTCCACTGTCTCCTTGGAAGATGACAGCCGGCCTTCTTCAGAGACTGTGGCTGAGGACACTGCCGAAGGGCTGGCATCAGCAGAGGCAGTGAAGCTGGATGAGGACAAGGTGAGCATGCCGGAGCTGATGTGAAGCCTCATGCTCTGAGCTTGTCTGTTTCTGATGCTTGTTGGGCCTGTCCTGCCCCTGATAGAATGGTGCCTGCTTCTGGCAGGTATCTGGGTGGCCATGGCATCCTCCCCTTCAGATCCATTTCCACTGTTTTCCTTTGTGACTACTTCCATTTCTCAGAACTCTGGATTCAGGTGGTTTGGTTGGTTTCGGTCAAAGCCCACCAAGGAAACCTCTCCCAGAGCTGTGTCTGAGACTCCACCAGGCTCCCCCACGCTGGAACTGCAGGTAGGAGACAAAAGGCTGTCCAGCCTCTGAGTAACAGGGTACAGCCATGGAGATGGGTGACAAGGCTCCACCATTACTCACTTTGTCCTTGTGCATGTGGCTGGGCTGTGCCATTGTGCAGGTCTTCATGCCATAGTTGCTCTATGTGGGAACAGAGCAGGACCAGGAGCCCTTTTAGCCTGGAAGTCAATCCTTGATTAATAATAATTTAAATTTGTGAAACTTCTTTGATCTGGAAGATCCTCTGAGCACTTGGCAATTTCTGTGGAGACTGTTTGCCCTCCACTGGAGCAGAAAGTGGCAGCTGTGAGCAGCATGGCTTGGGCAGGTTTTAGGAGCTGAAGGGAAGGAAAACCTCTTTAATTGGAAGCATGGCAGAAAGGGGGAAGCAGCCACGCATGGTTATGCCAGCCCTGGCTGGGTCCTCAGGGTGACATCCCTGACTGCAGTCCCAGAGCAGAAAATTTTGGGATATTCTTCCAAAACCAGCAGGAGATGAGGAAGAGAGGGTGGCCCATGGACACTGGTGTCTCTTTGCATTGTACACAGGCTTGGTGTCCTGCCTCCTGCCTAATTTTCACCTCCCCAAGTAGCTTAGGTTGTGACAGGTACCCCATCCTGCTAAGTGGCACCCCAAAAGTGTGATGTGGTATCTGGTGCAGAGGTCTTCTCAGCATGCAAGGAGCTTCTGTTCTAAATGGGTGGACGTGGTTTCAGGAACAGACATCGCCATTCCCACCCAATACCCCTATTGCAGCTTGGATGACCCCTTTGGCTCAGCCTCCCTCCAGACAGCCTGGTAAAGGCCACATGGATCCCCTCGCCCCTCTCCCTATCAGTCTTTTAGAAGCTGCTCTTCTTAATTTTAAGGATTGCTGTTGTTGCATGCCCCAGGAGGGTTGCAAGGTGAAAATGCTTTTGCTGTTACTCTGCTGTCCATTGAGATGAAAGGCTTGTGGGGTGTGAATGGTGGGGAGTCAGCAGGAGAGCAGGTGAGGAGAAGAAAGAGGTATTTGTGCGTGCTGGGGGAGCCCAGGACACTTCTGTCCTTGGGCTGGCTGTTAATTTTCTTTCCCTTCACCCTTTCCAGACTGGGTTCCATGAACATCCACCACCAGTGGGGACAGTCCCCCTGTTCAACCCTCTCCAGGTCTCCCAGGTGAGAGCATCCTTTGGAGGTGTTGCTGGATAGGGTTGAGGGTGAATCCTGACTTTTTGGATGATGCAGATTACAGGCAGCCTGCAGTGGGATGAGGGATGAAGAGGGGGACCAGCCCTGGGTATAAGAGTTTGATTTATAAGACAATGAACTGTGGGAGGACAGTTACAGGGGGTGTGTGATGGAGGAGGGAAATGAGGGGTGATGCTGAGGACAGCAGCTCCACATTTTTGAGTACACCCCTCCCTTACACCATATCTCTCTCTTCCCAGCTCATCACTGCCTCTCGACCCACCCAACCCAGGCTGCTTTCCCAGTGGCGCTACCCCAACCCGCTGTGAGGCAGAAATCAACAGCAGTGACCATTGTGAACCAAAATGGTGTTTGTGATTATTTTTTAAGGGGGTCTTGCCTGGGCACAGTGGCCCAGCTTGAATGCTACGCTTGGAGACAGGGCCAAATTGGAGCAAGCGTGGAAGAGAAGAGCAGGGGTGGCAAGAGATTGAGGGGAAAATGACCTCTGAAGAGGCCACGAGGTTATTTTTTCTAGGCAAGATTTTCTAGGCAAGATCTGCTGGGGGAGGATGGGGAATGTGATGACAGCCCTCTGGCACGCAGGAGGCTGTTTTTCAAGGGGGTGGTGCCTGGCTGTCCCCAAAGCTTCTAGGGGAGCAGGAATAGAGAGGCTTAATTTGCAGCAGGGAAGATTTCACTTAGATATTGAGAAAAAACCTCTTTATCTCTAAGGATGTTAAGCATGAGGACAGTCCTGGGAGGCTGTGAAATCTTCCCCTTGGAGATTTGCAAGTGCAAATCAGACCAACACGGGCACACAGGATTTTCTTGTGTGTTGGCAGATGGATGAGGTAACCTGAGGTGTCTCCTGTCCCTGCATTCGTGTTTTCTGTGTGGTTACTAGCGATGGTAATGTTTGCTGCGAAGCCGGGTGAGGAAACAGCCAGGCGAGCCCTTGCTGACACCTTACCAGCTCCCTTCCATGCTCGCAGAGTAGGTAGAGGAGGTGCTTGTTTTCCTTGGAGTGGAGAAGGATGGTAATAGTTACCTGCCTCTGTGATGTGAAGAGCATCTTTGTGCAGGTGTCCGAGGCTCTCTGCGTTGCATGGGATGGGCCAGCACCTCTCTGTGGCAATGGAGGAGAGGGAATAAATCTTGCACAATGTCGTCTGGGTTGTTTGCCCAGCGTCTGCCATCAGTTTTGCGTGTGTCGGGTGGGTTAAAGTAACGTTAACAGGGTCAGAAAAGGGTGTCCGGGGGAGAGTAGTCTGAATTGGGTTGTAGGACGATGCCCCACCTCACCCATTGGACTCAGCAATCGCCGGCCGTGAGTCTGTCTCAAAGCACCGCGGGGCCATGAGCATCCGCCGGGGGTACCTCGGGGGGGGG